TGTCTGCAGACCATAGAGGAGACTTATTCCAGCAGACCAGACCTGAAGGACGTGCCTCTGGAAAACCCAGACTGGGAACTGCCCAGGGACGGAAGCAGCTTCGTGCAGGATGGAAAACGGATGATGGAATGTGCAGTGACAACCAAGGACAAGGTTATCAAGGGGAAGGCCTTGCCAGCCGATGTGTCATCCCAAAAAGCAGAACTGATTGCCCTGGCAAGAGCTCTAGAGCTGAGCAAAGGAAAGAAGGTAAATATTTGGACTGATTCTAAATATTCTTCAGTGATGTACGTGCCCACGGAGCCATCTGGAAGGAGAGAGGGCTATTAACTGCCCAAGGCAGTGGCAGCAAACATGCAGACCAAATCCATGCACTCCTGGAAAGTGTTTGGAAGCCAGAAGAAGTGTCTGTCATGCATTGCAGAGCTCATCAGAAGGGGAAAACAATTCCTCAGTTGGGAAATCATTTTGCCGACCAGGCAGTGAAAGGGGCTGCAGAAAAAGGCATCCTAATAGTAATACCACAAAAAGAGATGGATTTGACAGGGTTCAAACCAAAATATGATGAGAGAGACCACCAGTTAAAGTTAAGTCCCTTAAAGCTGAAATCAAAGAAAGAAAGAATAAAGAAGCTGAAATCAAAGAACAACCCTGATCCAACCAGAAGGGTGATGCTGGGGGTAACAAAGGCTGGGGACCTCCCAGGGGATTACTGGCACGTAGATTTTTGTTGAGTTACCACCCAGGGAAAGATATAAATACATGCTGGTACTGGTTGACACCTTCAGTGGACGGCCTGAGGCTTACCCCTGTTGTACTAACACAGCAAGGGAAGCGGGATAAACTTCACCTAATCACATAATTCCAAGTTCCTCTAGGAATGTCATCAGACAGAGGGACACATTTTATTGCCATGGTAGTAAAGGAGGTTTGTGGTGTCCCGGGAATTGTCTGGGACCTGCACACTTCCTACAGACCCCAGGCAGGAGGCAAAGTTGAGTGCATGAATGGCACTCTTCAAGTGCAAATTGGTCACATTTGTCAGGAAATGTCCATGTCATGGGTTCTGGCTGTGCTGAGGATTCACATCCAGCCAAGGTGCAGGGATAACACAAGTCCTTGTGAAACGTTGTATGGGAGACCATACCAGGCTCTGCACGTTCCAGGGGACATTCACAGGAAAGTTGATTTACAGAAGTATTTAATTGCTTTAAGCTCTGCTTTACAGAAGCTCCCGAAATTCGTCGAGCTTTCCAGGCCCATAGGATTGGACACCCCTGCTCATCAATTCCAACCAGGAGACTGGGTCTACATCAAATGGTGGGACAGTGACCCGCTGCGAGCCGAGCGGAGAGGACCTTTCCAAGTCCTGCTGACTTCCCTCACTGCCGTCGAAGTTGCTGGCAAAGGACCCTGGTTTCATTACTCCAGAGTGAAGAAAGCTTCAATTCCTGCAACTATCAGCAAAGCAGAACCTGACTCAGAGGAAGAGGATGCGGCATTTCTGCTGTGCATGTTCTCTGTGGAGTCGGTAACTATGAATTAAGTTCAGAACCTGATTAACATTTGGCACCTAATATTCTTCGTGAAAGTGAGCGCTGAATTTGCACTACAATTTGGCTGCAATTCGGAACCAAACCAAAATTCTGCATCAGGTATCTCTGGACAATGTCTCACTGGGTTTGGGAGACACTCTCCACAAACTTACTTCATGGTTACCGAACCGGACCTGGATTAAACAACTGTTTCTATTGGTAATGTACGTAGTTAGTGTTGGTGTAATAGCATATTGCATGAACCAAAGTTGTAGATGTTGGTCATCTCTTTTGAAAAGGATTAGAAGTAAGTAGCAGAGATTGGACAAAATTTTTGAGTTTTGTCCAGTCTCTAAAGGGGGGGACTGATACCTTGGAGTTTTGATGTTTTGATTTTTTTTATTTTAATTCTTGTAGATCTTAGAAGTAGTTATGTGCTAAATGTAGATTTTAGAGTAGCAGCGTATTATCCCTTTAACCCACCAGCTACACACAGTAAACCCTGTTACTCATTCCCATATCAATTCCCCTAAATTCCACTGGCCTGTTTAGTCTCTTTTTCAAGGTAGAATTGTAGAAGAACATCCTAACCCTACGGAAGAAGATACAGCCATAGACTCAACAACCTTCAGGCCTAGGACTCTGGAAGGCCTCCAAGAACATTACGTGCTCTGAGGAAGATGAAGATGAGGAAGAGGGGAGTCCCAACACTCCTCCAGCCTCAATTCCCGAGAGGAGTGTCAGGAGGCAGAGCCAGGGGGGTGGCTGGATGGGGATTGGGTGGGAATCATGATAAAAATTGTACCACCTGCGTTCCTGGAGCCTCATTAAAGCCTCGTTAGTGACCTGAATTGTAATTAAATGCCTTGCTAAATTACACTCTTAAGCACACATATACAGTATCAGCAGCTTAGTTTTATTTAATCCTGATTTAACCTGATAGTTGAAAGGGAAGTTTGCATTACACAACTGACGTTTATGGTCTTGATCTGTGTGTGAGGATAATTGATTTATACCTCTGGATGGAATCTGCCAGCATGGATAATAGTGCAGGACTAAAGCCTGAACTACTTACTTGCAACTCTCCAGAAGATGCAAAGTTATTCTCAATTAAATCTGTTGATAAAGACCACGTTTATTATGAAATTATTGAAAATATAATTTCATTAATGAAGTTATGATGTAATCTAATATAGCTATGTGTAACACTGTAGAAAAAATGTGAGTCGATATTACATTATAGGACTAATTAATCAAACCTCACAATTTTAATTGGCATTTTTACAGGAATCATTAGCTCAAGGTTGCAGGGCAGTAGAAAATGGTTTGTGCCAGTAGAATAAAAATCTGTTGCAGTTGGGTCAGTCACAGCTGTTCAATTTTAAGAACTATATTACTTTTTTTCCAATACATTTAATTTTAATATAAGGTGCTTCACATTAATATTTGGTGCAGAACACTTCAGAGAATCAGAAAACACTGGTTCTGTTATGTTGCTCATACTTTTCCAAAAACCCAGGAGTCCTTTTCAGACTTCTGACATCACCTGAGAATAACTCGGACAGACTCAGCTCTTACAAAGAGGTGAGCCATGTGACCCAGCTCAGCATATTCTGTGATTCTATAATCATTTTGTGTTAATTTTTTTTTTTTTCAGTTTTCTTATTTACTCATGAACTTCTCCAGGATAAGGGAACCTGAAAAAACTGTAGTGAACTGTGTTCAATCCCAACACGAGATAAAGCAAAGCAAGTTCCTCACTGTGCAAAGGTTACACAAACAGTTGTGCTTTGTGGTGCTCTCTGAGGGTCAGCAGTGCATGTGCTGTTGAACCAAAGGGGAGAAAGTGAATTCCAAAGTTGAGAGCTTTCTTTGTAGGTTGTATGCTTTGCTTGTTTTCTTTCCTTTGATGTGCCCTTCCCGCGTGAGATGAAGTCGCACAAAGGAGCAGCGCTAGGCTGGTATCTCTTCAGCTTGAGATAGGGAAGAAGAAATACTTAAACTGTTTAACCCTCCCAATGACACTGTCACCTGTTGCTGCCATGCAATGTGGAAATCAGCATTATGTCCCATCCCTGGAAGTATTCAAGGCCGGGTTGGATGGAGCTCTAAGCCACCTGGTCTAGCGGGAGGTGTCCCTGCCCATGGCAGGGCGGTGGAATGAGATCATCTTTAAAGTCCCTTCCAACCCAAACAAATCCATTATTCGGGTTAGGAGAGCAGAAGCTGCAGGAATTATCTGGGACTGCATTTAAATAGGTGTTACCAGCAGGGGAGGGAGGTGACTGTGCCTTTCTGCCCCCTCAGGTGAGACCCCCCTACAGAGCTGCTCCAGCCCTGGGAACAGCACAGGGAGCACATGGAGCTGCTGGAGAGAGCCCAGAGGAGGCACCAAGAGGATCCCAGGGCTGGAGCAGCTCTGCTGGGAGGAAAGGCTGGCACAGCTGGGATTGTTCAGCTGGACAAGAGAAGCTTTGGGGGGACCTGAGTGTGGCCTTGCAGGGCCTGAA